CCCAGGACATAAGCCTATGAAAGACAGGCTTACTCTGTTGATGTGTGCTAATGCTAGTGGTGATTGCAAAGTGAAGCCTTTATTGGTGTATCACTCTGAAACTCCCAGAGTGCTCAGGAAAAACAATGTCCTCAAGGCTAATTTGTGTGTGCTGTGGAGGGCAAACAGTAAGGCATGGGTCACTAGGGACTTTTTTTATGACTGGTTACACCATGCATTTGCTCCCACTGTGAAAAATTACCTCCTGGAAAATAAATTGGACCTTAAGTGCCTCCTGGTATTAGACAATGCTCCTGGTCATCCTTCAGACGTGGCAGAGCGACTTTCTGCAGAAATGAGCTTCATTAAGGTCAAGTTTTTGCCTCCTAATACCACTCCTCTCCTGCAGTCCATGGACCAGCAGGTCATTTCCAACTTCAAGAAACTGTACACAAAAGCTATGTTTGAAAGGTGCTTTGTAGTGACCTCAGAAACTCAATTGACTCTAAGAGAGTTTTGGAGAGATCACTTTAGCATCCTCAATTGTGTAAACATTATAGGTAAGGCTTGGGAGGAAGTGACTAAGAGGACCTTGAACTCTGCTTGGAAGAAACTGTGGCCAGAATGTGTAGACAAAAGGGATTTTGAAGGGTTTGAGGCTAACCCTGGGAATCCTATGCCAGCTGAGGAATCCATTGTGGCATTGGGGAAGTCCTTGGGGTTGGAGGTTAGTGGGGAGGATGTGGAAGAGTTGGTGGAGGAGGACAATGAAGAAGTAACCACTGATGAGCTGCTAGATCATCTTCAACAGCAAGAGGCCACACTTGAGGAAACTGCTCCGGAGGATGGGATAGAGAAATTGAGGGAGTTGCCTACTTCAAAGATTAAGAAAATGTGTGCAATGTGGCTTAAAGTGCAAACGTTTTTTTGATGAAAATCACCCTCACACAGCTATTGCAAGCTGTGCTGGTGACTATTACACTGACAATGTTGTGAAACACTTTAGGAATGTCATAAAGGAACGGGAGGTACAGGCCTCTATGGACAGATATGTTGTGCAACAGAGGTCCAGTGACTCTCAAGCTGGTCCTAGTGGCATTGAAAGAAGAAGGGAAGTAACCCCAGAAAAGGACTTGCCACCTCAAGTCCTAATGGAAGGGATTCCATCTTCTAAACATTAACACCATTCACACACTCCCCTCCTCCCATCCCATCAATCATCACCAGATCTTCAATAAAGGTAAGTGTCATGTAACTGTGCATGTCTTCTTCAGTTTGTGCGTATTAAAATTAATATTTCATGTTGTAAAATTTTTTTTTTCATACTTTGGGGTGTCAGGAATGGATTAATTTGATTTCCATTATTTCTTATGGGGAAGATAATTCGGCTAACGATAATTTCGCCAAACGTTGATCTCTCAGGAACGGATTAATATCGTTAGGTGAGGGTCCACTGTACTAATGTTCTATCATATATTTACATATTTTCAATCACTGGACATGGTTTTAGAACTGCTGGAGCTTGTGGAAGTCCTTGAAACAAGGCACCATGCACAGAGGTACCTTACATTCCTCACACATAAACCGAGTGTCTTTGCGTCTTTGTTGCCGTCGTTTTTTTGTGCACAGACAGCACATCGCTTCTGAGCAAATTTCTTCTTAGTTTAAGGAAGCTGTACTATGAAATGATCACCTTCCCTCCTCAAACGCTTGGGTATATTCTCTGGAATTCGAGGACCTTGTTGTATAGCAGGTGTTGTTACCTGGTACTTCATTATGAGTTATCTGACAACAGACAAACAAAATTTGCCATATGGTGTTCTGTTGCCAGTCTTCATTTGGTACATATTATATGCATTGAACATTCAAATGTCCATGAGATGGAAGAAAAGTTTCATGTACCACTTGTAACTTTTACGAACACAATCAACAAAGCCAATCTGCAAGTCACATTTGTCAACCAAGCGCATGTTTTGTGTATAATCAATCACTGTCACTGGTTTTCGAATACTTTCATTAGTCACTCGATCAACTTTGCCAGTCTTGCATTTCGTTACGGTGAATGGTTGTCAACAACTTGACATCTCGTTTGTCATGCCACCGTAATGCCATGATGTCATTGGCAGTAAACACCTGCACGTCATCACCACGAGCACCTGCGTTGAGCCTGGGCATATGTTTACGATTAGAACGCACTGTGCCACACACATCTGTCTTGTTCACTCGCAAGAAATCACTGAGTAAAGGGCTTGTGTACCAGTTATTGGTATATAATGGATGCCCCTTACCAAGATAAGGTGCCATCATGCTTCTCACTACTTCACCTGAGATACCCAATAACATCTTGGTATCTTTCAGTGTTTTACTTCCTGTCAGTCACTGTCAGTCACAGTCACAGAGTACAAACAGTTTTATACCAAAGTGTTTCCTCTTGCTCGGTATATACTGTTTGAATGACAGCCTACCTTTGAACAAAATCAAAGACTCGTCAATTACGAGATTCTTGAATGGATAAAAGTACATGCTGAACTTTTGTTTGAGATACATAAAAGCATTTCTAATCTTGTATAACCTGTCACTGGTTTTGTCAGAGAAGTGCAACATACGTAACAGTAAGATAAACCTGTTCACTGGGATGATTTCACTGAAGACTGGGGTAGAAATTAGCTGATCTGTGGACCAGTATGCTTTTAAATTATGCTTATAGACATGAGGCATAAGCATTATTGTTGCAAAAAGCAAATACATTTCTGCAATAGTCGTCTCTTTCCACCGGTGTAGTCTTGACTGTGGTGATATCATCGTATTTGCCATGGTGTACTCAAAATACTTGTTACTTTCCCTGACAATAATTTCCATCAAGGGTTGGTCAAAGAATATTTCAAAAAATTCCAGTTCATTGGCCGTGTTTCCAAGGGGACAAGTAGGTAGAATTCCACTTTGAGAGTCATCAAAGTGGTGGGGCTTGGGAACAAAATTGGGATTTTGCTGCCAATCCCAGATACGGTTTGCTTGTGGTTACTAGACATCATAGGCTGGTTGTGCGGGTAGTTGTGGTTGTGGTGGGCTTGTGGCTGACGCTCCGCTTTGTCCTTGAACTGTGGAGTCAGCAGCGTGGGTCCCAGCCTAGGCTGGTGAGTCATGCATGGCTGTGGCACTACCATCACCACTACCACCATCTACTGATGACTGTGGTCTATCCATGCCAAGTGTAGCCACATCATCCTCACTTTCACTGTCTATTCCTGGTGTAGGGCCATGGGATGTACTCCGGGATGTACTCCGTCCCCTGGGCACTGCATAGGGTACACTACCCGAGCGCATGTGGCGGCATACATACCAACGCTTCACTGGTGAATATGTTTCCTCACTATCACTACTCGAATGATCGTCAAGAGCAATAAAATCACAATCCATGTCACTATCATCATCATTACTGAAGTCAGAGGCCTGGCCACGCGAAAATAATAGTTTTCTCTTGTGTTGAGGTACAACTGACCGTGACTGAGGAGAGCCCACACCAGAGGTAGAAGGTTGAGGATCGTCAGGGTTTTCTGCACTATTATCGACATCCTGGTCATTCCTTTCGGTCACTAACTGATCAAAGCCAAAGAATTCGTCTTCATTTCCACTTCTATCAGTGTCAGAACTATCAGATAGGAAGAGGAGAGTCCTAATTTTCCTTGGAGTGAGAGCTGCCTTGCGACGAGGCATGGTGAACAAGGGTAACTGAGCCGGCGTTCCCACAGTGCTATGCGGGCGCCTAGATTTTTTGTTTATGGCGCGCACCCACCACGCAGACCCGTTCTCTCACATGTAGACCTATGAGCGTTTTCGCGCTAAATTTGACAGCGCTAGAATTTTGGCATAGATCTACGATTTGGACACTGAACATGAAGGCGTAGATCTACGGGACGGACCCTGAAAGGGTTAAGGCCTACTTGAAAATTCATTGTTAAACATTGGCTTTAGTAGCTGTGTGTGTACTTACCTGTATGTGGCTGCAGGGATTGAGTTTTAGCGTCTGGTCCTTTTTCTCAAGTTTTTGTTTGTGTGTCTGAATACATCTATTTTCTGTTTCACGTATAGTTTTCAAAGCTTTTTGCAGACAAAGAATGTTAAATGAAAATTTGTTTAGCCATTTATGTTTGTTATTGACAGCAGATATTTCAAGATAGACAGCATATTATGGGACAGTGATATGAATAGTATAGAATTACTTGTCTACACTTAGTGGTTATGAGATTACTCAGCTTTGCAATATTTCACTAGTTATTTCATTCTTTGCATCAATTGATCTCTCATGTTGTTGTCAAAAGTGTCTTCATGGTTATGATAATTGAGCAAGTATTTCAGGTTATTTTTTGAAGCATAGAACACTGAGAAGTAGATATGGTTTGTAGCTGTATTACTTTGGATGGTTTTACTTGGATCTCAGGGATCCTGAAGGCAGTGAGGGATTTAAAGATGTACAGGTATACCTTGCTAATACAGTGGGTTAGGTTCCGGACTCTCACCATAGAGCGAATATTACATAAAGCGAATTTCACATAAAGTGAATCACAACCTTTTTTTTTTTTTTCACTTGCCAGTGCATATAAAAGCCTAAAAATATGTTTACACTATCATTTATTAACTGTGCAAAAGCAGTAGGTCTAGAAAGACGATAAATACTAAGATACAAAAATACGATAAATACAAAAATGAGCATCATCGCTATAAACCATCTTAAGAGCAAAAAATAATAGATGTGAATATACGTAATTGAAAAGAAACCATACCGTGAGTGGGGACTGAACTCACGGCGAGTGAGTCGTAAAACTCCAGGCCAGCACAATTGTGTTATTACAATTTCATGAGTCATAATTGAAAAGAGCCATATTGATGAAGTTCTTTAAAGCGAGGTATGACTACATGATGAACTTTTCTAAATAAAGATGAATGCTTCGAGTGTAACTTAGACTTCTTATATTATCATAATTAACTAGTTTCTTAATCAAGAGTTTTTGCAACTTTGCTAGGCCAAGAAAAGAAGAAAATTGCAAGACACAGCTGATGCTAAAGCTGCAGATGCTGAGGAGAAGCGAAAAGAACAGCAACAAACAGATGGGAAGCAGACAACACAGACAACACAGGCGCAGCAGCAGGCAACCCCAGATTACGCTGCTGGTCTCACTCCCTCTAACCCCCCTACACCTGGTCCTCCAACGCCTTCCACTCCTCTCATTTCTGCTACTGCTGGAGGGGCATCCACCCTACACAGTAAGTCCCACATTTTTCTGAGGTTTGCAGCCTTTTTTTCTGCAGTGTTACATTTTCCTATGGTTAACAGCACTTCTTCATTTCTGGAAGAATAGGCCATTTCATAATTTTCTAATGTAACTTTCTGATTAACCAGGTTGTGGTGGCTGTGTGTACTTGTGGGTTCACTGGCAACACAGCCTGGTTGACAAGGCAGTCAGTTAGGAAGTTTTGTATCAGGTTGGACTATGATAGTATAAAACTATCAAAACTAGTCATAAGTGTTTTACAGCTACTTCTGTCTTAACTTAAAAAAAGTTTAAGGAACAAGGTTAATGAAACTAGTAAGCTGAGAAGAAGCACACTTATATAAGCTGTGTCATAGTATGTTCTTCCGAAGAGAACAGGCCTATTTTCATAGGCCTCATTTAGTATCTAACACACACACCACTGTATTCTTGGTTAGAACTGTGTATTACACATTGTGAATGCAGATCGATACTTTCAGTAATAATTTAGTGTTTTATTAAAATTGTAACATCTCCTCATTATAAATCAAGGTAAACACTTTCCAAGGCATTAAATAACATTTTTGTTATTTAAGAACTTACAAAGATCATGAGTTACAAACTTATAAAAATTTAGCACCTTTAATTTTAGTACTTTTTACTATCTAAATTTTATTGCTAGGTGAACCATAGAATAAAATGTTTGGGTTAGGTGTAGAGGTATGTGTGAACAGAAAGAAGCTTATCCTTGAAGGCAAAAAAGGGAATGTAGCAGAGTATAGTGGTACGAGCACTTTTACATGGGTGTGAGGCATGGGTTTTGAATGTTGCAGTGAGGAGGCGGCTAGAGGCAGTGAAGACGTCATGTTTGAGAGCAGTGTGTGGTGTGAATATACTAAGCGTAGAAATTAGAAAGTGATGTGGGGTGACCAAGGGTATAATTCAGAGGGCTGAGGAGGGGTTGTTAAAGTTGTTTGAGTATGTAGAGAGCATGGAGAGGGATACGTTGACAAAGAGGGTGTATAAATCTGAGGTGGGAAGGTATTACGGGTAAGGTTCATCTTTGGAATAGTTGGAGGGATGGGGGTAAAAGAGGCTTTGAATTTTAGGAGCTTGAGCATCCAGCAGGCTTTTGTGAGCTTGTTAGATAGGAGTGATTGGAGACAAGTGGATTTTAATGGATGTGCTGTTGGAGTGTGATCAAAGTAACTTTTATAATGTGATTTGGGGAAACCAGTTAGCCAGACTTGAGTTCTGGAGGTGGGAAGGGCAGTGCCTGAACTATGGAGGAATGGAGATATTGGAGCTTGAGGGTAATCAGAATTGTGATGTCAGCACACTTCAGTAAGGACTGTGAGTGAATGAGTGATGGTGAATGTATTTTTTCTTTAGGTTGCCATGTCTTTGCAGACAGCCATTGAGGTAAAAAAAAAAAAAATAGTATTTAGTGCCATTTGTATCATAGGGCCAAAAGGCCACTTGCTATTTAGTATGTTTAGGGTTTCAAAGGTGGTTATTATTTCAGCCAATGCTGTTGCTGTTGGCACTATAGCAGCGCGATCTTCAATACAGCAGAGTTCCAGTACAGGAGGGAGATCTACTCCCTCTACTCCCACACCCCCTTCTGGTGCAACCACCCCTCAACGTATCATTGTCACGCCAAGTACGCAGGCTGCAGGATCACCTACGGTTGTGTACCGCACAGTGACACACACTCCGGTGCTCACGACGGCAGAAGTTGTCCAGGCTGCCACAGCTGTTACTGTGACCCCGAGCACTGGAGATGCTCCTGCTACTGTTGGACAACCACAATATGCCACACTTCAGGTAAGTAAAGATTATGCTTTCTTCATTATTATCATATTTTACATCTCAAAATATATACCATTTTGGAGCAATTTTGAATTCATCAGGTAACCCTGAAGTAGTTGCCTGGTTTTTCTATTTTCTTGCTCCAAGTATTTTTTATAGCTTAAGAACACCTGATGTAATTGGCTTCAAACTTTCAACACTGGTGTACTGCAGCTGCAGAAAGGTTCACACAACATGTGCAGGTGCTCTTGGGTGTATTTTATATAGGCCACTCCTGGATTTGGTTTTTATTTGATATGAGAAAGCCTATTCTGATAGGCTTCAAAAGTTTCGATGCTGGTGTATCCTACATAGGAGGAGGTTAGGATTATTTGATTGTCTAGGGTAATTTATCAGTTTTACTTTTGTTTTTTTTTGTATTTTTACCATAAAAATTATTGAAAGATTCATTAAATTCATGAAATTTAAAAATACCATAAAAAGTTAGTTTTAGATATTGTTGAGTTTTGTTTCTCAGTTACAGTATATTCTATTTCAATTTATATAGTCAATTTATATGGTCACACTTCACAGACACGCACATGCATATATATATATATATATATATACATACATCTAAGTTTTTCTCCTTTTTCTAAATAGCTCTTGTTTTTCTTTATTTCTTCTATTGTCCATGGGGAAGTGGAAAAGAATCTTTCCTCCGTAAGCCATGCGTGTCGTATGAGGCGACTAAAATGCCAGGAGCAATGGGCTAGTAACCCCTTCTCCTGTAGACATTTACTAAAAAAGAGAAGAAGAAAAACTTTATGAAACTGGGATGCTTAAATGTGCGTGGATGTAGTGCGGATGACAAGAAACAGATGACTGCTGATGTTATGAAAGAAAAGAAGTTGGATGTCCTGGCCCTAAGTGAAACAAAGCTGAAGGGGGTAGGGGAGTTTCAGTAGGGGGAAATAAATGGGATTAAATCTGGAGTATCTGAGAGAGTTAGCGCAAAGGAAGGGGTAGCAGTAATGTTGAAGGATCAGTTATGGAAGGAGAAAAGAGAATATGAATGTGTAAATTCAAGAATTATGTGGATTAAAGTAAAGGTTGGATGCAAAAAGTGGGTCATAATAAGCGTGTATGCACCTGGAGAAGAGAAGAATGTAGAGGAGAGAGAGAGATTTTGGGAGATATTAAGTGAATGTATAGGAGCCTTTGAACCAAGTGAGAAAGTAATTGTGGTAGGGGATCTGAATGCTAAAGTAGGAGAAACTTTTAGAGAGGGTGTGGTAGGTAAGTTTGGGGTGCCAGGTGTAAATGATAATGGGAGCCCTTTGATTGAACTTTGTATAGAAAGGGGTTTAGTTATAGGTAATACATATTTTAAGAAAAAGAGGATAAATAAGTATACAAGATATGATGTAGGGCAAAATGACAGTAGTTTGTTGGATTATGTATTGGTAGATAGACTGTTGAGTAGACTTCAGGATGTACATGTTTATAGAGGGGCCACAGATATATCAGATTACTTTCTAGTTGTAGCTACACTGAGAGTAAAAGGTAGATGGGATACAAGGAGATAGAAGCATCAGGGAAGAGAGAGGTGAAGGTTTATAAACTAAAGAGGAGGCAGTTAGGGTAAGATATAAAACAGCTATTGGAGGATAGATGGGCTAATGAGAGCATAGGAAATGGGGTCGAAGAGGTATGGGGTAGGTTTAAAAATGTAGTGTTTAGTGTGTTCAGCAGAAGTTTGTGGTTACAGGAAAGTGGGTGCGGGAGGGAAGAGGAGCGTTTGGTGGAATGATGATGTAAAGAGAGTAGTAAGGGAGAAAAAGTTAGCATATGAGAAGTTTTTACAAAGTAGAAGTGATGCAAGGAGGGAAGAGTATATGGAGAAAAAGAGAGAGGTTAAGAGAGTGGTGAAGCAATGTAAAAAGAGAGCAAATGAGAGAGTGGGTGAGATGTTATCAACAAATTTTGTTGAAAATAAGAAAAAGTTTTTGGAGTGAGATTAACAAGTTAAGGAAGCCTAGAGAACAAATTGATTTGTCAGTTAAAAATAGGAGAGGAGAGTTATTAAATGGAGAGTTAGAGGTATTGGGAAGATGGAGGGAATATTTTGAGGAATTGTTAAATGTTGATGAAGATAGGGAAGCTGTGATTTTGTGTATAGGGCAAGGAGGAATAACATCTTGTAGGAGTGAGGAAGAGCCAGTTGTGAGTGTGGGGGAAGTTCGTGAGGCAGTAGGTAAAATGAAAGGGGGTAAGGCAGCCAGGATTGATGGGATAAGGATAGAAATGTTAAAAGCAGGTGGGGATATAGTTTTGGAGTGGCTGGTGCAATTATTTAATAAATGTATGGAAGAGGGTAAGGTACTAGGGATTGGCAGCGAGCATGCATAGTTCCTTTGTATAAAGGAAAGGGGACAAAAGAGAGAGCAAAATTATAGGGGGATAAGTCTGTTGAGTATGCTGTAAAGTGTATGGTATGAGTTATTATTGAAAGAATTAAGAGTAAGACGGAGAATAGGATAGCAGATGAACAGAGGCTTTTGGAAAGGTAGGGGTGTGTGGACCAGGTGTTTACAGTGAAACATACAAGTGAACAGTATTTAGATAAGGCTTAAAGAGGTCTTTGTGGCATTTATGGATTTGGAAAAAGGCCGTATGACAGGGTGGATAGGGGGGAATGTGGCAGATGTTGCAGGTGTATGGTGTAGGAGGTAGGTTACTGAAAGCAGTGGAAGAGTTTTTACGAGGATAGTGAGGCTCAAGTTAGAGTATGTAGGAAAGAGGGAATTATTTCCCAGTAAAAGTAGGCCCTTAGACAAGGATGTGTGATGTCACCATGGTTGTTTAATATATTTATAGATGGGGTTGTACGAGAAGTAAATGCGAGGGTCTTGGCAAGAAGCGTGGAGTTAAAAGATAAAGAATCACACATAAAGTGGGAGTTGTCACAGTTGCTCTTTGCTGATGACACTGTGCTCTTGGGAGATTCTAAAGAGAAGTTGCAGAGATTGGTGGATGAATTTGGTAGGGTGTGCAAAAGAAGAAAATTGAAAGTGAATACAGGAAAGAGTAAGGTTATGAGGATAAAAAGATTAGGTGATGAAAGAATGGATATCAGTTTGGGAAAGGGAGAGAGTATGGAGGAGGTGAATGTATTCGATATTTGGGAGTGGACGTGTCAGCGGATGGGTCTATGAAAGATGAGGTGAGTCATAGAATTTGATGAGGGGAAAAGGGGTGAGTGGTGCACTTAGGAGTCGTGGAGACAAAGAACTTTGTCCTTGGAGGGAAAGAGGGGAATTGTATGAGAGTATAGTTTTACCAACGCTCTTATATGGGTGTAAAGCATGGGTGATGAATGTTGCAGCGAGGAGAAGGCTGGAGGCAGTGGAGATGTCATGTCTGAGGGCAATGTGTGGTGTGAATATAATGCAGAGAATTTCGTATTTTGGGAAAGGGTTAGGAGGAGCTGCGGGTTTCCCCAAAACTTTTTGTCCAGAGGGCTGGGAAGGGTTGTTGAGGGGGTTTCGGACATGTAAGAAAATGGAGCAAAACAGAATGACTTCAAGAGTGTATCAGTCTGTAGTGGAAGGAAGGCGGGTAGGGGTCGGCTAGGAAAGGTTGGAGGGGGGGGTAAAGGAGGTTTTGTGTGCGAGGGGCTTGGATTTCCCAGCGGGCATGCGTGAGCGTGTTTGATAGGAGTGAATGGAGACAAATGTTTTTTAATACTTGACGTGCTGTTGGAGTGTGAGCAAAGTAACATTTATGAAGGGATTCAGGGAAACTGGCAGGCTGGACTTGAGTCCTGGAGATGGGAAGTACAGTGCCTGCACTCTTAAGGAGGGGTGTTAATGTTGGTTTAAAAACTGTAGTGTAAAGCACCCTTCTGGCAAGACAGTGATGGAGTGAGTGATGGTGAAAGTTTTTCTTTTTCGGGCCACCCTGCCTTGGTGGGAATCGGCCAGTGTGATAATAAATAATAAATAAAAATTTTGTAGTACCTGTGTTAGTTAATATCATTTTTGAAGTACCTAATTATGTAGCTTATATAGCATTTTTGAGAACATAGTTTAATTACATAGCTTGTATATTTTTGATGTGTGTGGGGATTTGAGAAGAATTATAATAAGCACTTAAACCAATATGATTTTTTTTTATACATGCATCATATAAGGTAATAGTTTATTTGAGAATTGTTTTTCTGTTGTACTCTTACAACATTCAAATTCAAAGTTTATTCTTTATAAAGATTACAATGTTGAATTTACAGAATTTGGTTGTTGTGTGGTTTACATGTAGTTAAATAATGATTACAGAGTGTACCACTAGAACGCCTAGCATGGCTAGGCATTTCGGGCAGACTTAGTTTAATTCTTTATTTTAAAATATTACAAATTATGAGGTAAGTTGGTATTATGGCTAAGTGACTAAATACTAGTTTGTGAGTTTAGCAATGTGAATGCTTTTGTTTTGGCACAGTACATAGTTTCAGTATTGGAGTATCATAGGATTCATGAGATTAATATTTCTGTTTATGGTCAAATGGGTGAGTGTAAGTGTGAACCACCAGGTGGTATTCGTGTAGTTAGTTGATGGGGTTTTCAGGGAGATAAGATGTTTTCTAATGGTAGTTTTTTGAAGGGATGAATGTGTCTGCAGTTCTAGAGTTCTCAGGTAGGGTGTTCCAGATTTTAGGGCCTTTGACATACATTGAATTTTTGTAAAGGTTTAGTCGGACATGGGGAATGTCGTAGAGATGTTTGTGTCTGGTGTTATGCCTGTCGGTTCTGTCACAACTATCAAGAAAGCGTTTTAGGTCAAGGTTGATATTGGAGTTTAAGGTCCTGTAGATGTAGATTGCACAGTAGTAAGTGTGGATGTACTGAACAGGGAGTAATTTTTAGATCTATGAAGAGTGGGGGGGTGTGTTGCCAGGGATGGGATTTAGTGATTATTCTTACTGCAGCTTTTTTGTTGGGTTATTATTGGCTTTAGGTGTGTTGCTGCAGTTGATCCCCAAGCACAAATAGCATAGGTGAGGTATGGATAAATAAGTGAGTGGTATAGTGTGAGAAGGGCATTTTGCGGCACGTAGTATCGTATCTTGGAGAGGATCCCAACTGTTTGGATACTTTTTTGGTTATGTGTTGGATATGGGTGCTGAAATTCAGGTTGTTGTCAAGGTATAGGCCTCGAATTTGCCCTCATTATGTCTGGTAATTAGAGTGTTGTCGATCTTAATGTTAATTTGTGCAATCTCCTGCTCTGCTACCAAACATAATATAGTAGGTTTTGTCAGTGTTAAGCGTAAGTTTATTGGCTGTCGTCCAAGTCGATATTTTGATCAGCTCCTCGTTAACAATGGTGTTGAGGGTGGCAAGATTAGGGTGAGAGATGACATAAGTCGTGTCGTCAGCAAAGAGAATGGGTTTCAGGTGTTGGGATACGTTTGGAAGATCATTGATGTATATGAGGAAGAGCAGGGGACCAAGGACACTTCCCTGCGGAACTCCAGTATCAAGTGGCCGTGTTGTTGATGCTGTGTCTTTAATGGTAACATAAATGATACCTATTAGTAAGGTAAGATTTGAAATAAAGCAAGCGCATGGCCTCTTATACCGTAATGGTCAAGTTTGTGAGTAGGATGTCGGGGGTCTACTGTGTCAAAAGCTTTTCTTAGGTCAATAAAAATTCCTAGTGGATATTCCTTTTTTTCCAATGCTGTGTAAAGCAGATCTAGCATTTTTATGATTGCATCATTAGTGCTTTTATTTTTCCTAAATCCAAATTGGCAGGGGTTGAGTATGTTTTGTGCTGTTATAAATGAATATAGTCTCCTGTGCACGAGTTTCTCAAAAATTTTGGATAGCAATGGTAAGTTTGATATTGGCCTATAGTTGTTTAAGTCTGTAGGGTCACCACCTTTATGTATTGGTGTAACCCTTGCCATCTTGAGTAGTTTCGGGAAGGTGCTAGTTTCTAGGGACTTGTTAAAAAGTAATGAAATAGCATGCGAAAGGATATGGGCCACTCGCTTGTACAGTAATGGTGGGACATTAGACAGATTCCCTGAGTTGTTTTTAAGTGACTTTATAATCTCGGTGACTTCCGAGGGCTCAGTTGGTGCAAGATAGAAGGAATTTGGGAAATTCCCATCTAGGTAGTCCCCGGCATGGGCATTAGTATGTGGGATTTTATTGGCGAGATTAGATCCTATGGTTGAGAAGAAGTCGTTTATTTTGTTAGCTGTGTCAGTGGGATGTAGTGGTGTTTCATTAGGTTTAGTTAGGACAATATTCTTGTTTTTTTTCAGTTTGTGGGTTCCTAGAATCTGAGAGAGTGTTTTCCAGGTCTTTTTATATCTCCTCTAGTGTCTGTGAATCTACTGGAGTAGTATAGTTGTTTGGCTTTCTTTATTACTTTGGTGAGAGCTGATGAATAGTGTTTAAGAATATCTTTGTGTATTAAGCCCTGTCTGTATTGCTTTTCATATTGGTGTTTCTTGTCAATGGATTTCAGAATGGTGCTGGTTAGCCATGTACAACCAAGCCGTTTGTTTGTGATCTGTTTCGTTTTTATAGGACAATGTTTGTTGTATTATTAGAATTAAGTATTGTGGTCAGATCTTTATATCAAAAATAATGGTTTGAAGAATCCGTGTGTGTGTGTGTGTGTGTGTGTGTGTGTGTGTGTGTGTGTGTGTGGTAGTGTACAGTACATTATTGCTTTACCATTGCAGCCTGTACAGCCCGAAATGGTGTATACTGCAACCCCTCTGACCACAGCAGCTCTTGCTGCAGCAGCATCACCAGCACCTCAACAGCCAACACAGCAGCAGCAAGCTACCCAAGTTATCACTGTGACACCACAACCCGAGGCACAGCAAACTCAGCAAGTTCCCATCAACCAAACAGCTGTCACCACGCAACAGCAACAGTCTCAGCAAAAGCGAGGACTCTCACTCACGGTGAGTTTGTTTATGTACTTTACACCTCAGTCTAAGAGTAAATACAGTGCAACACTGTAAGCTCAGCTCATTCTGGGAAGGAAGCTGTCTTGATGTTTTTTTGTCAAGTGGTACTGAGCAGGTAAATCTAAAGGAATTTCTCAAGGAAAAATGAACAAGCCGAAACATAAAAGTGCAAAATAAACAGTATAAATTCCTGCTGGTTTTGTCCTTATGTAAGTAATATGCTATGTGATGCTAAGAGGTGAAACACCGGGGTTAGCAACTGACATTCATTAAAATTATGCTAGAATTTCACACACATTTTTTGCATCATCAGATAAAACTTGCTCATTAATAACTGGACTTACCATTAACCAGTTTATACACAAGGCTTATAGCTACAGTGGAACCTTAGTTTTCGTGTGCCCTGGTTTTCGTAGAATTCGGTTTTTGACAACTTTTTTCATCAAAATTTTGTCCCAGTTTTCGTACATCCGCTCGGTTTTCTTAGAGTTGACAATGGTCTGCCGCATCAAACGCGTCTGCCTGCCTGTGCCTACACAAAGCATCCCACAACATTACTCCGCTCATTCATCCGAAACATTTCGTAATAATCCATTATTTTTTGTGCTTGTTTATTGAGTGCAACTGCTAAATAAGCCACCATGGGGCCAAAGAAAGTTCTGAATGTGCCTCCTTAAGAGATTAAGGATGTGTGTGCAAAGTGGAGCGAGTTGCAAAGCTTTGTGGAGAAATATCACCCTAACAAAGCTGTTGCAAGCCTTGTCTGCAACATGTTCAATGACAGTGCCTTGTCTCATTTTAGGTAAATCTTAGAGATGCCAGAAACAGACCTCTCTGGACAGTTTTATTGTGTGATGGGTACAGTGACTCTCAAGCTGATCCTAGTGCCAGTAAAAGATAAGGAAGGGAAGTAACCCTGGATAGGGTCTTGATACTTGAAATCCTTATGGACAGGGATTTCCCTTTCAAACAGTAACCTCTCCTCCTCCCTCTCCCCTCCTTGCTGTCTTCCATACACCAACAAGAGTCTTCAATAAAAGTAAAAGTGATGTTGCTTGACTCACGAAATCGTAATGACACGATTGTAAACAAACCATACCACGGGCGGGACTTGAACCCGCGGTTAGAGAGTCTCAAAACTCCAGACCGTCGCGTTAGCCACTGGACCAGCTAGCCACAATAAGATTCGTCCAATTAGGTATATTTCTACACCATAGGAAAGTTAGCATAGGCACCACTGTGACCACAGTGGTGCCTATGCTATGAAACTTGCATTTGTGGTCACAGTGGTGCTTATGCTAACCTTCCTATGGTGTAGAAATATACCTAGTTGGACAAATCTTATTGTGGCTAGCTGGTCCAATGGCTAACGCGACGGTCTGGAGTTTTGAGGCACTCTGACCGCGGGTTCAAGTCCCGCCCGTGGTATGGTTTGTTTGCAATCGTGTCATTATGATTTCGTGAGTCATGTTAACGGCTTTGAGGGGACTTGAGCTAGAGTTCATCATGGCCACGCTAGCTGGAGATTCGTCTGTAAAAACTTGCATTTGTGATCACAGTGGTGCTTATGCTAACCTTCCTATGGTGTAGAAATATACCTAGTTGGACGAATCTTATTGTGGCTAGCTGGTCCAGTGGCTAACGCGACGGTCTGGAGTTTTGAGACTCTCTAACCGCGGGTTCAAGTCCCGCCCGTGGTATGGTTTGTTTAAAAGTGATGTTAGATGTTCATTTTTCCATTTCATTAGTCATTTATATTTATTTCTCATTGTTTTCTGTATGTAAAACTATAGTTGTTCTCTATAAAATGTATTTTTTTTTTAATATTTGTGGATGTCTAGAATAGATTAATTGGATTTACATTATTTCTTATGGGAAATATTGCTTCAGTTTTCGTACAATTCAGTTTTCATCAGTCTTTCTGGAACGGATTAATCATGAAAACCAAGGTTTCACTGCATAACTGTTGTCATTATTATACTTTGCAAGCATTGTTAACTGAAGAAAATAGAAAAAATGACTAAACAAAGGTGTCCTGCTCAAATAAATAGCTGACTGGTAGTAGTAACACCGATGTCTGGTGGTGACTCTTGTGGATGGCTGTGGCCACTGCAACTTAATTTCAGTTATAGCATGAGTGGTGTAGGTTTCGTCTATAACTTAGTAAAATAGAATGCTGCACATTTGCTGAATGCTTCATGTGATGCTAAGTATATACATATGCAAACATTGTCTTGAGCTATGGTAGGAGGGAGGAGGAGGAGGAGGAGGAGGAAGGTGAAGGAGGAGAAAGAAGGTGATGGATGAGGAAGAAGGTAAAGGTGGAGAACAGTGAGCTACACCAAGACTTCACAAGTGCTGAACACTTTCAGTTTTTCCTCATACATCTTGCAAGAAAATTATCCATTATTTTGCATCTTCACAACTGTAGTGGCGGGGTCTGCTTTGGCAACTGCTCTGGCTACCACCAGCTGCCTGTTAGCTGTTTATTTCAGCAGAGTGCAAATGGTAGCTTTGTTTATAGATTTTATTACATTTGTATCTACTAGCCTTGCATTCAGTAAACTCTCATACAACACATCAGTTATGTTCCTGAAAACTGCATTTTAAGTGACATCCCTGTGAGAAAAATAAGGTTTTGTTTTTAGTTCTTAAAAAAAATCAAGTTTTTAAAAATAGTTTTATAAAGCCAAAAGAAATTATTTTGTTTTGCCTAATTCTGGTTGCTGTTTCTTGTATATGGAGAGAGTTAATGTGGCCCTGTATAAACATGTTATGCAGTAGTCTGCATAGTGGTAAATCTTCTATTTTGTGTGTGAATAAAAATTCAAAATGGAAAGTAAGTGTAAAATAAGAGTTGCTCGGAGACGTGACTGATGAACAGAGAAAAATGTTGTTTTAGTTCCAGGAATGTCTGTATTGTTTATTCTGGACCATATTTTGAAATTGGTCTTTCTTGCATTTTGTGTGAAATTGGCTAAATTACCAATTTCTGATCACTTTATTAGGTAGTTGAAATTGGTAAATGGGCAGTTTCTTGTACTCAATCAATAGAATAAAAGGAGTACTACTTTAATAGCTATGAGTTTGGGTGATTGAAACAATAGAACTGGCTGAAAATAGCGTTCAAAGTGGTGAAATCACTTATGCATAGATATTGCCGAGCACCAGCTCTGGTGCCTGGTGGTGTAACGCTCTCGCTTTCACACGTGAGGCTTGGGTTTCATTTCCCGCAGAGTAAACATTGGAGTGTTTCTTTCCCCTGTTGTATTTTTCCCATCAGTAAAATGGTTACCTGGGTGTTAGTCGACATGTTGTGCGAGTCGCATCCGGGACATGACCTAAGAGGCTGGTCACAGACGGGCCGCGAGGGCGTTGACCCCCGGAACTCTCTGTAAACTCCAGATAAACTCAGACGCCTAACTTTGCGATAGTGTAATTCTGCAATTTCGCAAATTTCATACTTTTGGTTTCATTACCTTTGAAAGGATTTATCTTTCATAAGAAATATTTTTTTTTTAATATTCTTCACCTTGAGAGCAAGTTGCGAGCAGGGTCATGAACTGAAGTGATTTAATGAGGTCTGCTGTGAGACCTGGCTGTAGGTGAGGCTAGATCCTGAAACTTTGATAGATAAAGGAAACATTTTTGGTTTTCTTTTTATGTTATGTTATCTCGTTTTCTGTATTTACCTATTTGATAATTAGTAGGTAGTTATTAATTCTTGTACCCATGTGTTGATCATCTGAGTATGTAGAAAAGAGAGAACAAACTTTATATCTTTTTGTGTTATGACCCTTAACCTATTATGTCATCTAATGTACAAAATAGTACCCATGTCATCTAATGTACAAAATAGTACCCATGTCATCTAATGTACAAAATAGTACCCATGTCATCTAATGTACAAAATAGTAACCATGTCATCTAATGTACAAAATAGTACCCATGTCATCTAATGTACAAAATAGTACCCATGTCATCTAATGTAACAAAATAGTACCCATGCATCTAATGTAAAAATAGTACCCATGTCATCTAATGTACAAAATAGTACCCATGTCATCTAATGTAAAAAATAGTACCCATGTCATCTAATGTACAAAATAGTACCCATGCCATCTAATGTAAAAAATAGTACCCATGTCATCTAACGTACAAAATAGTACCCATGTCATCTAATGTAAAAAATAGTACCCATGTCATCTAATGTACAAAATAGTACCCATGTCATCTAATGTAAAAAATAGTACCCATGTCATCTAATGTACAAAATAGTACCCCTGCCATCTAATGTAAAAAATAGTACGGGTAAACTTACTAGACTAAAACCCAACAAGTTTCTTCTTATAATCATGTATAATTATGTAGTCTTAAGTTAGGCTTAAGCTTGCCTGAAATACTTTGCATAACTATGGGCTTTCATCATGCTCTCATTTGTCCCCTTCTTTCTGTATAAGTAGTGTATCATGTTCATATAACTTGTATTTGTTTACATGAATTTGGAAGCATGTGTTTTTTGACACCAGATAAATAATCCTCGATGCATTTACAGAGAGAACAAATGTTGGAGGCACAGGAGATGTTCCGCACCAGCAACAAAGTTACAAGACCAGAGAAGGCCCTTATCCTTGGCTTCATGGCTGGATCCAGAGGTAAGTTGTATATTCCTGGCAGCAAGTCATATTTTGTAGACCTAGTCCTATGAGCAGCAGGTAGCTATAATTTGTTTCATGCAGAGATTATCATGTGAAAATGATCTATGAATGCTAGTTCATTGTAAGACAATTACTTTGTGGCCATGGGATTGTATGTAGTGATTAGCAAGTAGTCAGGGATATGGTAGGAATGAGAAGTGGAACCTTAGTTTGGTAAAGCTTTTTAAATAGAAGATGTATAGTGTTAGGTAAAGCACAAGCGGTGACATAAAGCATATGACTTTAAATTTTGTATACAGTAGGACCTGCATATCCTTCGGGAATACCTTCCAAGGACCTGCTGTGGATGGGAAGCACTTTACGGCTTCTCTTAGACTTTGAAGAGCTGCCAGCTTCTCTTACTTTTGTGCTTTGGGTCCATTATTATTCAAAATTAAGAGGTATTTTTGAGCCACAGTAAACCACGGATAACTGAAACCGCAGATACCGAATCAATGGATACGGGGGTTCTACTGTATTACTGATTGCGCATTGTCAGTAAGAACAGAATCAGGAGATCAAGAGAAAAAGAGTACAGCTGAAGAAATAATTAAAACCAAATCATGTGCCTTAGGTCTTTTAAGAGATATATATATGTTGTAGCTAGAAGATAAGTTTATAGAACTACTGGGACTAAAGCTATAATATCATAATATTCATTGCAGAAAATCCCTGTCCACATCTGGGTAACATAGTGACCATCAAGCTGAGTGAAGGAGAAGAGACTGTGTCACAACCAGAGGGAACGTTTATCAGTATGCTTGCCGAGACACACTTCCAGATGAATTACAACACTGGAGAGTGGAAACGCATCAAAAAGTACAGACCACTTCCAGCGGAGTGATGTCACGAGAATTCTTCTTAGATTATAATGCAAGATGTGGCCATCCCATAGTTCTGCAAGTGAATGTGAAGCACCGTGTCTAAGATGTGCCTGTTGAGTTACTGTTCCAAGGAACCGGTGCAGTGAGCAGATGGATGGTAACCAAGTGCCCATGGAGTGAAGTGGATTATCTAGTTGTAGAAAAGTTGTAGCACACTTGTACTGTTCTCTGGTGCTATTGAAAGAAACAGTGAGACACTGGGGAGACCTCTTAAGTTTCATCCCATGTATTGGACAGTGGGAGATTTAATGACCTCTCCATGTTGCAATAGAGAAAAATGAGACCACACTTGAATTTTGCTGAACATTTACCATGCTGAGCACTATCCACATTTGGAATATGGTGTATAACAGAAAAATGTATATTTAAAGAGCTTCTGATTGGCAAAGAACAGTTTTGTTGTCATTGCCTAAGAGCAACACAGAGCTGCTGTGATAGTTTGTGCTGTCATTGTTAATACCATAAACTTATCTCTATTAAGGGAGATAATTATCACATGTCACTTGGACCATTATTTCTGAAATACTTATAAGAGAAAATGGAATTATTTCCTTCATATTGGAGAATTACACTATTTAGCACATGCTATATGTATTGTTTTTATATATTAGATAAACGAGTAACTTGAGTTTTTGGCAAAGAGGGCCAAATTTGCCAGAAATGGTGAAATAGGTCCTGGGGCCAAGGCCACTTGAGGAGGACTTCCCTGGGAGGTCAACCTCAGATGCTGTACCTGCATAACTTAGTTTAGTGTATATTAATCTGTCCTGTTCTGATTCTCTCAGTTGTCTTTCTTGTACATAAAAAAATATTCTTGCCATGTTGGATAAGGAATACTGAAAAGCAACCTCTAGTCCGGTGACATAAAGCAGGTGAGCATTGGCCATAGTTGCCACCTGCTGTATGACTGCCTTTGAGATCTCATTGCCAGCCTCTGTCACCATATCCACTAAATTTATCAACATGTAGAATGAATCAAGATGTACTGGCTGATTTGCACACTTTTTTTGTGCAAATTTGAATTGCATATGGAAAGTTACAGCCACTCTCCATTCCAAAGTCATTCTCTTTACACAGACTTTTCATTTTGTCGTATTTCCTTATAATTCAATGGCATTTTTACTGCTGGAACTTTAACATAGTGAAACTCATGTTCGAGTAACTTGTGTAAGTTCAATGCTTCTTTGAAGCACATGTGATAGCAAAATATATATATATATATAATATATATATTTTTCTTTTGTATATAAACTTTTCCTGGTGTATGGCTCTATTCAGTAAAAGCATATATGAAACCTATAAGTTGATTGTTCATTCATACAAAAAAAAATTGCCGTTAATATGTAACCTATAATGTTGTTATATTAGCATATTTTGCTATGCTTTTAAGCTTCATAAGTGTTGTTTTTATTTCTTATTAGCATTTTGATTTAAATTGGATGCAGAGGCACATAAGCAACCTCCAAATTTATTTATACTGTAATGACTTGTAACAAAAAAAGTGATTTGATAATAAAACAGGGGTGCACTTTCAGTATCTATCAATACAAGTGCATCAGAAAGTAAATACATGTATAGCTTTTTCTAACATTTCAAAGACATTTTTAGCCTTTTACTGGTTCATCAACTTTATAGGGAAAATATTTGACCATAAAAGTCAAGGAGACCCATTTCTTAGCCTTAAGTGGTTCAACTTTACAGAGAAGATATTTGACCACTTCAGTTCAAGATGTGTGCTTTTCATTTTTTTTTTTTGTGCCACAAAGTTTTTTTTGTGATTTTTAACACCGGCCATATCCCTACTGAAGTAGGGTGACTAAAAAAAAAATATTCAATAACTGTCTTACCACATCTTCAAATTTCTATATTCCAAATTCTACAATTCCAACCTCCTCCTTGCTGCAACACTGACAACCCATACTTCACACCCATGTAAGTACAGTGGACCCCCGGTTAACGATATTTCTTCACTCCAGAAGTATGTTCAGGTGCCAGTACTGACCGAATTTGTTCCCATAAGAAATATTGTGAAGTAGATTAGTCCATTTCAGACCCCCAAACATACACGTACAAACGCACTTACATAAATACACTTACATAATTGGTCACATTCGGAGGTAATCGTTATGCGGGGTCCACTGTATTGGTGCCACTATACTCTCGTACATTTTCCTCTTTGTCTTCATGGATAATGTTCTTTGTCTCCACTGATGCCTCAGTGGAGACAAAGAACTCTTTAGCTCAAGAGAGATTCCTTGATGCTGGTGAGGGGCTCTTCATCTAGGGAATTGGATCTGTGCTCCAGTTCCCTGAATTAATCCTGAATACCTTTCATCCCTACACAGGCACTGTATAATCCACTGGGTTTAGCACTTCCCCATGATTATAATAATAATAATAAAACTCATCTTTCATATACCCATCTGCTGACACGTCCACTCCAAATATCTGGATACATTCACTTCCTCCATACTTCCTCCTTCCAATCTGATATCCAGTCTTTCATTACTTAAATCATTTGTTACTTCTTCACTTTGCTCTTTCCTATATTTGCATTTAATTTCCTTTTACTTACCCTTCAGAATCTCCCAGAAGCAGTGTTATTGGCTTTAAAGCTGTGGCAATTCCCATTTTGTATTAGAATCCACATATTTTAATCCTGCACCTCTCCCCAACACCCCAGCATTCGCTTCTTTTACAAACCATCTATAAATGTGTCAACCATGGTGACATCACGCATCTTGTCTACTGGTGACATCATGCTTCTTTGGAAAATAATCTCCCTCTTTCCTACATACCTCCAACCTGAACTTCATTATCCTTATTTTTGTTTGTTTTAACACTGGCCATCTCTCACCGATGCAGGGTGTATGCTTTAGTTATTATGCCTGAGGTCGTTACCTCTCCTTTAACCCTTAAACGGTCCAAATAGATCGATGTTCAAATCCGTAGTGCTCCAAAAGTAGATCTATTTTTTTTTACATATTTTCAAATATAACAAAAAAAAATGTAGATAAAAGTTTTTTTTGCACATTTTCAAATGTAAAAAACAAAAGATGATGTACAATTTTTTACATACTTTCAAATGTTGAAAAAACATATATACGTTCGGACCGTTTAAGGGTTAAAAGGGTATCTTGATGCTGGTGAGAGGCACTTTCACCCTGGATCAAACCTAATTGCTTTCCATTTTTCCAGGAGCTGTATGACTCGTATAAATTTAGTGCTCTCCCTTTTGTGATATTAATTGCCTTAAAGTCCATTTGGAAACTGTTGTAATGGCTCCAAGTTTTTGGCTAAAATTACTATAATCTGAAATCCCTCTATTCATAGATAAAAGTTAATAAGGGCACCAGTACTGTAGGATGCAAAACTGTCTCAAAATAGATGCACCAAAGTAACTCAGTTTGGATGACACTTCTCTTAACCTAAGCCTAACTTCATTTTCTGTGCCTTCAAAGAGTGTCTTGATGCTGGTGAACAGCTCCTTAGCTGAGGGAGGATATAAGATGTACAGTAGGCATCATAAATATGCATACCTGTAAGTATGCTTTTAGCAGACTATTTTTGCCTGACATATACAAGAGGTATCGGGGCAACTTAAGTATGGAAGACGGTGCCCCTTGCCGTACTACCAAAGACGAGGAATTGGATAAATTATTGTGATTTTTTCTACACTTCAGTGACTGGCATGGAAACTCATTGGATTTGCATCCGACAAAACACTTGGGAACTTAAGTGTAAGCATCGCAGCATGAATAAGTAAGTAAGTTTATTCAGGTATACACAAATACAGTTACATAGAGTTATCATACATTGCAGCATATGTGTAGAGAACCTGGGATAACCCAAAAAAGTCAGACAGAGTGACTTATTTCCATTGAGGTCCTTTTACCTTATTTTTTTTTTTTTTTTCAACAAGTCGGCCGTCTCCCACCGAGGCAGGGTGACCCAAAAAAATAGAAAGAAAATCCCCAAAAAGAAAATACTTTCATCATCATTCAACACTTTCACCACACTCGCACATTATAATATTATAACATTATAAAGTATTAGTCAGAGGGCAGAAGAGGGGTTGTTGAGGTGGTTTGGTCATTTAGAGAGAATGGATCACAGTAGAATGACATGGAAAGCATATAAATCTATAGGGGAAGGAAGGCGGGGTAGGGGTCGTCCTCGAAAGGGTTGGAGAGAGGGGGTAAAGGAGGTTTTGTGGGTAAGGGGCTTGGACTTCCAGCAAGCGTGCGTGAGCGTGTTAGATAGGAGTGAATGGAGCGAATGGTACTTGGGACCTGACGATCTGTTGGAGTGTGAGCAGGGTATATTTAGTGAAGGATTCAGGGAAACGGTTATTTTCATATAGTCGGACTAGAGTCCTGGAAATGTGGTAAGCAATGCCTGCACTTAATAAGGAGGGGTTTGGATATTGGCAGTTTGGAAGAGGAAATTAGTTATGTATCTATTGTTTGAGACTGTTGTATTCTGAGACACCTCTGCAACAACAGTGATAATCGTGCGGTTGGTAAAGTGTTTATTGATGATGAAAGTATTTCTTTTGGGGATTTCTTTCTTTTTTGGGTCACCCTGCATCGGTGGGAGACGCCAAAGACTGTTGAAAAAAAAAAATAAAAAAAAATAAAAAAAAAAAACATTATAATATTTTCTCATTATTCTATAATGAAGATAACATCTTATTATCATACTAAAAAGACTATCTACTACACGAGTGTCATTAAGACTATCTACAGTACGAGGGTCATTACTAGGAATAAGGTAAAATTTACACGTATGTTAGCTAAAAAATAGAAAATCATTCCCCTCCCTTTCTGTAGCTACATTCATCAGACACCTTTTGGCACTCTTTTTGAACTGGTTCATGCTTTGACTGGCTTTGATATGTGCGGGTAGTCTGTTCCATTCTTTTATTGCTGTACAATAAAAGGTGTTTGAAGCCTGGCCAATGACTGTGGGTTCTACAAAGTTGTGCTCTCTCCCCCTAGTACTATGAATTGCTTTTCCCAACCTGACAATATGAAGCAAGATTTATGACATGGTTTGTGTGAGATTTTAAACATGATTAGCTTCAGTTGTTTTAAACTTCTTCAACATGCAGCATATCCAAACTGATGTAATTCATCCTGGCCTACATGTTCTTTGGTCCCAGCCCCAGGGATGAATCTTACGATTTTGTTCTGGGTGATTTGTAGTCTATCTTTCAGTTTTTTTGTCAAGGCAGAGTACCATGAAGAGCATGCGTAATCCATATGGCATTGTATAAGGGCTAGACATAGGGTCCTGCGAGCCTCAGTAGGTAGACACTGTGCTTGTCTATACAGGAACTTCAGTCTGGCATTCGCTTTCTTTACTACACTGTTCCCTATCAATTCTCCTGACATGCATGGTCAAAGGGGATTCCCAGATATGTCCTCTAATCCCAAAATCTTTCAAGTATCATTAACCCTTTGACTGTCAAGACCCCAAATCCTGAAGTGTGTGTCTGTGTCACAAAATATTCGAAAAAAAAAAAAAAAAATTTCTCATGAAATCATAGAGAATCTTTTCCCGGTGGCAATGACACCAAAAGTACGAAATTTGATAGGAAACTTACTGAATTGCGCTCTCATAAAGTTAGTGGTCTTGGCTATATATACACACACGATTTTGCCCACTTTGAGCTCTATTTTCGGCCAATTCCATTGTTCCAGTTAACCAAACTCATAGCTATTTCTTTAGGACTCCATTTGTTCTATCGATTGAGTACGAGAAACCGCCATTTACCAATTTCAACTACCCAATAAAGTGGTCAGAAATTGGCAATTTGGCCAATTTCACGCAAATTAAAAAAGGTGCCAGATTCAAAATAGGGTCCATAATAAACAATACAGACATTCCTGGCACTAAAGTAACATTTTCTCTGTTCATTAGTCACATCTCAAGGTCCCTCTTATATTATTCTTGCTTTCTATTTTGAATTTTTATTGTAATAATTGTATAAATAATGTCAACCCATTCGTGACTGTATATTAGAATGGCTAGTTGGACAATTATTGGATGGTGATGTCATTTGTTTACTCTTGAACATAGACAAAAATCGAATATTTCCGCTGCTTTGAGCTCAATTTCAAGGCCCTTTTCTTCATGAAACCAATTAAAATCATCTCTATTTTTGTAATGTCTTCCATTCTATCAAATGAGACCAAGAAAATGAGAAAACAACCATGAATACTATACGAAAATACTTGTACATCTCAAAGTCGGCATTTTAATCCAAAACACTGTTGGAGTTTTTTTTTTTTTCATAATGTACTGCGTGCCGCAGGATTTTTTTTTTATACTGCACGCACTGACCATACAGACCCATTCTCTCACATGTGGGCCTACCATCTTTCTCCTGCTTGATTTGAAGCCGCTAGAATTTTGGCATTTGAATACGTCAAAAGCACTGGCTCGTAAGGCGTATTTATACAACACTGACAGTCAAAGGGTTAAGCAGGTGTGGCAGGTTTAGGTGAGGAACACATATATATTTTAGTATTCTTTCTTCTTTCAATGAACCAGTTGTATCCCACCG